GAACAGATACAAATAGCTGGCTACGCAGATGACACGGCGATTTACATCGAGGACGCAGCAATGCAGGACACGGCGCTGAAGACAGTCAAACTATTCTCGGAAGTGTCGGGGCTACTGCTAAACGCCGGGAAATCGCTATCCATACGACTGGGGGACGCAGGCACGGAAGAGCTAAAACAAAGAGGTAGGGGGGCCAACCACTTCAAGAAGCCACAGAAACAAGATACCTGGGGCACATCACAGGATCCACGGACAGGACGAAAAGCGCATGGGCCAAGGCGTTTGCAACATTAGCAATTAAACTAGCGCTGGCAGTCGAAAAGACGAACACAGTGCAGGAGAGGGCGACAATCGCGTCGGCAATCATAGTTCCAAAATTACTGTACGTGGCAAGGCACGCTTGGTCGGACGGTGACTTGGTCAAGGAAGCGGACTGGAGAATAAGGAGCTTTGTCTGGCAATCGTCATTCTCCACACCGGATCATGCCCCGAGGGGCTGGATACCGGCCGTGGTCGCGGAATTAAGACCCAAGGAAGGAGGGCTGGGAGTGCCAAACATCAGAACAGAGCTGATGGCAATGGCCGCATCGACAGTGGGGACATGGGCCACCGCTACGACCAAGAGCAAGCAGAGCGCAGGCAAGTTGCTACAGCAACAGGCAGGAGTCAACATCGAACACATTATACCATATGCGAACAGCGCTGAGCCAAAGCTACACGGAGACATCTGGACTACCGGCAAGCTGATAGTCGAGACAGGATTTGCACCCGAGATGCCGCAAGGAACCAGTGAAGACAGTACGGCGGACATAAGGCGGGAGATGAGGCTGAAAAACGGCATGAAGACGACCTGGAGTAAGATGGGGTTGGTCTGTGAATTTGGAGCACAAATACTGGGGCGAATGACACAAGCGAGAAGGCGGAGAGAAAAGGAATACGGCGGGCTGATACATCAAACAGTGCCAGACCTGCCGTACAAGAGGCTGGTGCCGCGGGACGCAACTGGGGCAGTACGGAAGTGGTCGGCATACAGGATGTTAACAGAAGGAAGGGGAGTGCAACTGGTTGGAGACCTAATGGAAAGTCAAGTACGAGAGCAAAGGCAGGGTGATACTGCAACCGCACTCCACGGAGATGCCGATGGAAAGCAGGCAAGCGCACCTCTTCACAGAGTTAGGGCTATCACTATTGGCCCAATTCCCGGAGCTAGTGTCCAAACCAGGAGACGCGACCACATTAAGAGTCTCGCATGGACTAACGGACCCACACCATAGCTTCTGGGTCGAGAGCTCTGACAGGCGAGCGACTGTCAGGCACGGCTGGGCGTTCACGGAGAAGGAGGTGAGCATGGGGGACGGCCCGGCGGAGGAGAGTGCTAATATAGCAGAGCTACTGAAAACGACGCCCAAGGCGGTCTGGGTAACGCCGCATCCAGACCGGACACACATGCAGCCGCTATGGGCGGGGAAGCGAAGATGGACTAGGTCGCGTCAAGCATATAAGGACGTAATAAGGAGGAAGCGACGTAGCGCTGCGGCAAAAGAGCAAGAACGCATGAGGATCAAAAGGGGGCAATCAAACACAGCCATCAGCAGGTCAATGGAGCAATTTTCGTGGAAGAGCGTCCAGCGGATGCACGGGGTAACAGCGTACCAGAAACAAAACATTGTGAGGATGAAAAGGGGAGATTGAGGGTATGGAGAGGACAGGAGATGAAGTACAAATGCGCCGGGACGAGATGCACCAACTGCACGGAGAGCGGGCAAGATCACTTGCTGTGGAATTGCCCCGACACCAAGGCCTTTTGGAGTGTCTGGGTGAAAGCATGGGGGATGCCCGGGCTAGGAAGTGAATGGGGAAGTAACTCAGCGCTGAAACGAGATATATGCTCCTTGACAATAAGCACGCTCCCACAGTGGCTGATAGACTGGGGAGACGGACAGCAAGTGGACAGATGGGAAGCAATACAGGAAGCAGCAGCAGCAGCAACGTGGACAATGGGATGTGCAGCAACAATCACGGCTATCTGGAGGTGGAAGGTAGCGGAAGTGCACCCGGACGGCATCGACAGCGGACAGCTGAAAGATGCAGTCAACAGATTGAAGGCGTCGTTGCAGGACACGATACTGAGATACACATTGGGACAGTTCCCGCTAACACCAAGATCGCACGAGACAATCATTGTGGCAAAGCGGATACGCGCAACATGGGCGGCTGCCACTAGGCAGGCAGATGCAGATGATGGAGGAGGCAGCGTGACACGGGTGGGCTTCTTCGATGGAGGCTCACGGGGAAATCCCGGACCCGGAGGAAGTGGCAGCGTGATAGTAGAATTGACCGGGGAGAGTGAGAGGCCAAAGATACTGTGGGCTGCGGCAACGAGCCTGAGCAACAAACGAACCACCAACAATGTGGCTGAATTTGTGGGACTGCAAAGGCTACTCGCGGAGGCAGTGGCTAGGAGATGGAGAGGGATGCAGGTCGTGGGCGACAGCGCCATGATCCTGGGACTCATGTTGCAGCACTGGTTCAGACTAGCGAGGAAGCTGGCGGATCAGGGGCAGGTCCAAGTGTGGCGGCACCACTACCGCCAGCACAACAAGACAGCAGACGGGTTGGCAAACTTCGCCATGGACACCGGTAAGAGCGTGATGTTCACGGCGGAGGCGGAGGGGATGGAGCACGAACTGAGAACATTGGCGGAGATGTGGATACAAGGGGACGTCAACCAATGGAGGAAAGGAGTGAGCAGCGAACGTGATCCACGCACCAGATAGCAAGCCCGGAAGACAAAAGGAAGAATTAGCACAGAAGGAGAGGAGCAAGGACAACTCAACGGTGCAACACAAGCTAGTCGGGAATCGTTATAAGAGTTCAGGCAGCAAGCTGGTAACACAATACACCTCACCAAAAAAAAAACATCAAGTTCCGTCAGTACGATTTCAGCAGAGATGGATAAACACTAAATACCAGACACGGGAGCACGTGCACGACATCGTAGAAAACGTTTTCGTTCAAGGGATCTGCCAATTTGCAAAAATGCAGAAGAACAAACTACGGGTGGGCGAATCATGGACATCCCTATGTACTATGGCTCCCAATTTTCCAATCTGCCAGCATTAACTGAAAATTTTAAAGAAGTGGAAGAGCTGGAATATCGCGAGTGGGCTACGTTTCGGGGACAAAGGGGACTTCAGATCCCGATAAACCTCACGGAAGTCGAAGCTATCGAAGCCATGACTTTTTCTTCAGCTGCCTTTCAAGTAGAACCACTTGGTTTGTATTCACAGCATGACGGCTTGCTGGCAACCGTACTACGAGATGAAAGTCGTGGGCTGTTTGGTCACTCTGCTACCTTTAGTTTTTTTTGCGCTTACACCTCTGTCTTTCTGGGACCAAGTCGTAGTTTTTACGAATGAATATGCCAAACTCAGTGGCTCCCCATCACGTCGAAGTGTGCATTTAGATAATCTCATGACGTTTTTGGGGGGGTTTGTGGTAATTGGCCCGCGTCGATAGGGGGAGATGAGAAATTATTGGCTTGGTAATGATGAAGCAAGTATTTTTCCTGGAGCTCGCTCAACATGTTTGGAGTGTGTGATGACTTGGAAACGATTCCTTTACCTTTGAAAAAACGTATGTTTTCGATCGCAAGTTACGACATCCGACATCCAGCGAGATCCTGCTGCACGAATACGGCCTCTCATTAATATTCTCACGTCACGTTGCACGCATCATGTGATTGTCGGTCGAAATGCCGCTGTCGATGAAGCCAGCATTGCTTGCAGGTCACAGTATGCCCGTCACGTTATAGCTTACAACCCTCGTAAGCCTAGTGGCAAGTATCATTTCAAGCTTTGCGCTTGTTGCTGTTCCACATCGTGGTACGTTGTAAGCTTCAAATTGCACTGTGCTAGTGAGCTCCAAAGCCGCCTGTATGGGGCTCTACCAGGAGCTGAAATACGAGAGCTACAATAGCTCACGAAACGGTCATCCGATATTCGCTCGCACGTCATTGAAGTCACGGCTTTACTGCAAGGATCGCGAAGAATTGTCAATACAGACAATTTCTATACTTCGTGTCTACGTTTGGAGAGCCTCAGAGCAATTGGACTGTATGGTCGTGGAACAGTGCGGGCATCCAGTAAGTATTTCCCCCATTTTACTATGATTCAGCAAGGTGCCTCAAAACCAAGAGGGTTCATGAAGCAAGGGGGTTGTTTTGCAAATTATATTGTTGCTGCTAGCTGGATTGATGGTTCTATCGTCAATATCGTATCCAACGCTGACGCGTCTACCTCTTCAACAGTGTACCGACGCATCCAAGCAACGAAAGAAGCATTTAAAGCTCCGACCTGTGTTAGTGAATATAACTCAGCAATACAAGGCGTCGACCGCCACGACCAACTACGTGGAAGGTTCTCTCTCGGCGGAGGCCACCCTTTCAAGAAATGGCATAAAAAACTAGCTATGGCAATGCTTGATATTGCCAAGTGCAACGCGTGTATCTGCGACGAATTAGCGCGCGGTAAGAGCCCAACGAGCGATGACGCCTCACAGACCTGTGCCGCCAACCCCACACCGGCCTGTCGTGACCGGCACCGAGCATTCTTCGTATCTCTTGTGCGTGAGTTAGTCAATCGTTGTAACGACGCACCAACGTCACAGCCAGCGATGGCCATGACGTTGGTACCAATGCGTCCTACTTTCTTCTATTTCTTTCCTACTTGTCGTTGCTGACTGCCAACTGTCTTCTTACGTTGCCAATGAGCGGCCAGGCAGACACACGCCTGACCGGAAGGCAATCACCATGTTTGGACGAGTATTGCCAAACATGGAACTCTAATGATAGTCATTCTTTTTCATTTGAATTCTCTATGGATATTCTGACCCGGTTCAAATGAACCGCGGCTCACTACTACGCTACGCTACTTCAAGATTCGACTCAAGGACTACTTAGAATCTAGTATAGTGAAATGCATATATTTACATAGGATACCAAGGGAATGCTAACAAGCACTTCCTTGTAGCCGACAAACAACTAACCATTTCAATCTCACTTTCCAATTTACCTTCTTCGAGGCACATCAACTGCCTCCTACGCCTTACTTTCAAGTCCCCATCGTTGGACTCTCGCCGCCCTTCTCCGCTTCGCTCCTCGCCACGCGACTCGTTCCTCGTTGCTGTTCCTCTGCGCCGTGCTCTCACCAGTCGTCACATCTGGTAGCACTTGTTGGTCCGGGAGGGATCGTCTCTTCGCGTTTTCGGTAGGCGACACTCAGAACGTCGCTCGTTGAGCGTGTGTCGTCTCCTCGCCATCAAATCTTCGGCTGTCCTCCTGCGTCGCGTCGCTGCTCAACGTCATTGTTGATTGCGTGTATGCTGCACTAGTGTCTGGTGTATAAGAACCGGATCAAGTCAGTACCTGCACTTTACGACGCGTCCCTGATCAACGTCATAGTTGATTGCGTGTGTACTTTACTAAGTGTCTGGTCTTTAAGAACCGGATCAAGTTAGTACCTGCACACCTCGTCGCTGTCCACGGATGCCCAAGCGCATAGAACGGGATTATCCGTTCGGTCACTCTATCGCCGAGCATTTCGAAAAAGCCCAATCACGCCGAGACTGCCGCTTCTATTCGCAGCACTTTTGCGTTCGGAATCGATCGTCACTTCCGCTTTGTTAAAGCCCTGCGAAATATGATTCCTGACGCCACAGATCATCACGCACGAAACGTTTTGCAAAAACTTTCGGATCTGTTGATTTCTCGTCTGGTGGACCAATCAGAGTTTCTCTGCACGTATCTGGATAGGAAAATCCTGGAATACGTTTCTCGTCGGTCCGCACTTGAGCCCGAGCGTAAACGTCGTCGGTTGCACTAGTGTATGTCAAGTAAAGAATCTCGTAAACGTCGATTTGACGAATACTTCGGATACTTGAACGACGACATAACCCAAGCCCTGCCTGAGGAAAAAGTAAACAACGTCTGCCGTATTTTCGTTGAGTCGTTAGATCAGCTACACCAAGCAATCGACGAATTCTTCCCGTCTGCTCTGGCCTTGGTCGTAACGACCGTCTGCGGTGTCGTCTCGAAGACAACCAAATCGGGTTGTTTGACGCCCTGGTAGAGGTCGAGCGACAAGTCCGTTGTTTTAAGTACATTGAGCACTCGGCAAAGAAACATCGCAAACTTTAATTAAATAAAAGAGCTCTCTACACGAAATAATGACCTCCTTAAATCCTCAAGGATGGTCTACTGACGCTCTCACGCAGAAACTCATCGAAATGGTCGATAAGCAACAACAGCTGCTTGAAGCCATGAATAAGCGTGAAGTGAAAGTAGAAGGTATCCGTTTGCCACAATTTCATGGCAAGATGGGAGAATCTGTTAATTTGTACTTTGAGCAACTTGCTCAGTACTTTGATGCCAAAAACATCGATTGGCAAAACGACAACCAAAGTTCTCGAATTTTGGCCATTACTACTGCGAACTTTAAAGGAAATGCTGCCGCTTGGTACAAGCTGAACAAGCGTGATATCAAGGACATGCAGGAACTTATGGCCCGGTTGACCGATGAATTTGTGCCTCCGGATTTGCAAGAGCGTTTGCGTGATCAATTGTACGCGCTCAAGCAGAAATTTTGCTCTAGCTTGGAAGATTACATCTCTCGCTTCCGTGAAGCCATCATGCAAGTGACAGACATGAGTGAGTTGGACAAGATCACTTACTTCACACGTGGACTAGTCAGTCCTACGCGCGAAGAGGAGCAATATCGTCGCTGTACAACAGTGTCGCAAGCAATGAAGATTGCTTTGGAGTATGATCGATCGCATCATGTCCGCGGTAAGAACTATCGTCCACCGTTCTTTTCGCAGGACCGATCACGCACTCAGTCCAACAGCAATTCGCACCAAAAGCAAGCCACGCCTATGCGTGTTCAGGAGAACGAACCCGAGACAATGGAAATTGACTCAGGGAGTACTAGAAATCGCCGTTCTGCTTCTTCTTCGTCGTCAAACAAGCGATGTCGTTACTGCAAGAAGTCTGGTCATGTCATTGAGCAGTGCTTCAAGTTAAAGAACAAGGAGAAGTATGCTCGAAAGAACCTTCACGAGCAATCTGCCACGAACTTTATCTCCTACAACTGCTGCTGCTGAACGAGCGTCTATGACCCGTTCCGATGACGAGGTTGAGGTTGTTGAAGTGGAAGATACTTCCACGTCCACCTTGTCGTCCATGCATCGCGAGAACGAGCTCATTCGTTTACAAGGGATTTGTGATGGGAAACCTGTCGTCATCATGTTTGGCAGTGGTGCTACGTGCAATGTTGTTCGCCCAGGGTTAGTCGCTAACACCGCTACGTCTGGTGTCTCACAAGTCACTCGGTTCAACTTCTACGAAAGCGCGTTCTGTGAAGAAAGGTCAAGCGACTATTGAATTCGGTCGCTACCGTTTCCGCAAACTTCAAGTCATGGAATGGTCACTTGGATCTGCCCATGATGTCATCTTGGGAAAACCTTGGTTTACCAAGTTTCAGCCATGTATCAATTGGCGTTCGCATGAGATTTCATTTCCAAGTGTGTCTTGTGCACCTCCATCAACGGTTGCTAGTCAAGCTGCTGTGGAGATTGCTGCTGTTGACTTTAAACGTAGCGTGAAGAAACATGTGTAAAAGGAAGTGTACCGGGTCAAGATTTGTGTGGTCACGCCAGTTAGTGAGTCGACTCCTGTTCCGATCACTCACTTATTGAAGCGTTTTACTGACGTCTTTCCGGA